TCTCTTCCTATATTTTTCTTTTTTTCAGATATTCCTGCTGTTTAATGCACTTTCTAGTTTCAACCAAACAAATCTAAGCCTATGAACAGATGACCATAAATTATTAAATTGCAGTGGCGTGCCTATTGAAAGCTAATGTCAAGTGAGTCACATTAACTGTATAAACTCCCAACCTTTAAGCTGTTAAAGACAGTATTTGAAAGCACCTTCATATTTCAAATTTGTTTAACATATAAAAACGAGAGCTGCAATCTAAAACAAATACAACAAATAATTTAAAGTTGGTGTATCTCTCTCTCTCCTTGCCTCCCACCCCCATTAAAAACAGATCTTTACTCAGAGAGGCTCACTGCCTAACTACATATTCACCAAAAAAAGCCCTATACTGCCTCTTGTGCAACTGCCTGTAAATTCTTTTATAATTTATTGTGAATGATACCTCCTAAATGGAACTTATAAGTAAAATATTGGAAGGAGAGCTTTTAACTATGCCCCCTTATCTCTAGCACACATGTATCATGTTCTGTATGTTGTCAATTTTCCAACTATTTCCCATCATTTTCATTGGTCATTGACAGGAAAAGAGAAGAGAGAAAATATTTTATGGAAAACAGAATACTTGATTGGAAAAAAAGAAATGAAGAGTGGCACTTAAAGGCAATGCTAAATTTTAAAAATCTCCTCAGTTTTCTGGGTGATTAGTCTTCTTAAAGAAGTGTTTACAGTCTTTTTAGGCAAACTGAGTTCAATGCATACACAGCCTCTCCAATAAATTCACAGACATGAAGAAAATAAGCAACTTTGCTGCTACTTTTTGTACACTAGTATCACCTAATCTCTTACAGATAGGTTAGCTATGTATACTACATGTTCTTCTTGGCATCCAATACACATTTTTTTAATTAGTTTATTTCTCATATACATGTCTCCAGCCTATGCCACAATCATTTCTTCAAAGTGTAAGCACGGAGTACTGTGCACTGCAGCGTTATCTATTGCCAATTCTAACAAGTTAACTGCAGGGCAGATCAGTGGGACTAAAGTCGTGAACATCACACTTATATTGGTTTCAAGAACCAAGCTACAATTTCTTCTCAGTGCTACACAGAGTGGAAGATTTTATTTTTTTTTTTTTTAAATAAATAGAGATTGCTATAGTCACATAAAACTCAAAATGTTTTAGTTACATATTACTGGCATTCATCAGTAAATTTCCTTTTTCTGAAGAATAAGACCCATAGATCTATTAACACCAGACACATTAGCCTCACTGCAGCTGGGAAGCAAGCCAGATGCAGGAATCCCTCCTATCTGACATGCAGAGACCACAGGCACCTCACTTCTCTTCAGTGCAAAGAAGGCAATACCAGTCCACCCACATGATTTATAACAAGTGAGAATATTTGCAATGCAGATTCCATCCAACGTAACCAATTTCTGACATGTAAATCTTTATACTTTCCCTGTTTGAGAAGTCTACGGAAGGAAAAGAACCTTTGCTCACCCCATTTTAGAAGTCAACACATTTTGTGTTTATGTGAGGGTTTCTGGGAGACTGGAACCCTTTTTCTTGCCTGATTACCCTTTCACTACTTACAGGTGTACTTCAGGGAGAGGCTTAACATGCTGTCTAATCTGCAGTCCTTTCTTTGTTACTTAGCACAGGGATCGGGCATTGTAAACTAAATTTCTGATAAAAACAGCTCAAACCATGACAACTGTCCACAAAATTCCTTCAACACTGACAGATCAGAACTGACTGCCCTGAGCATTTGATATGACAGAGCAACAACTCATCTAACTGCACAAAGATTTTTATTCCAATATCTTTAAAGCCATGGGAATGTCAGTTTATATATGGTCTGTCTAACAAAAGATAGAGCATAATTCTCCTTTATTTTTGCTTTTCCTTCCATTTTTTTCATGTCTTGTGGGAGGGAGCAGTTAGTCTGATGCCGTTGGAGAGCTTCCAGGCAGACAGAGAAGGCTGAGCTATGACCCACCTATTACTGGTTGCCTATTAATATCAGGTTTATTGAGAGAAACATTGCCTTAGAAAAAACAAAGGGTTTGGTCCCCTAGTTAGCAATCAGGTTAAATTTGAGCTTGTGCTTGGGAACCTGAACACCTTCTGGCCTTAAAGAAGGAAAGTTAGAGGAAAGCCTTGGGGTACACACAACCAAACCATTAAACAAAACGACTCCTTTATTGCCCACTCGTTCATCTCTAGTCTGATTGCTCTGTGCTCTCTTGTTGCTCTGTGCACAGAGATGGAGACTTACTAGTGATGAAGCGTGAAATCCACATCAGGAACCAAGGATTGTGGACAGTGATGTTGAAAATCACAAGGTCATGGACAGATGGCAGCTTGTAACAACCACCCAGAATTTTCCAAGCACAGGAATGTGTCAGACCTTCCTGCTGCAGAGCCTTGCTGTTAGACCTTCCTGCTGCAGAGCCTTGCTGTTAGAACGACTACAATTTGCCCAGATCAGCTACAGATCTAGAACAACAGAACCATACAGAATATATACAGGTCATACAGGTTGACACCTTCCCTGAAATTCTCAGGGAAAAGTATACAGAAAGTAACACTTGGAGTCTGCAACAAAGGCAGACTGCCAGGGAGGGGAAGATGAGTCCTACATCATCTTTTAGTACCCTCTGGCATTAGCAGTGTCTTCTGGTATCTCCACCTGCAAGCTGTATGGCAGCATTGGGATAACAGAGCTTCACAGTTATGAATATGGATGCTGGCAGAAATTACAGGCACTTAAGACACTTTCTGCCATCTCCTGCACTGCCCTTCTCGTTTCCTTCCTTCATACATAAAGGAGATGTAGCTGTCCATTTCTGTACCAAACTAATCTGACCCACCCTATCTTCCTCTCACTCAGGTGGAATCCAGTCACATCTAACAAGGTAATGAGAAAGAAATTACACCACATTCATAAAATCAGACATATTCCCAACCAAGCCATGAGCTGGTATCGGGACAGTATTTTAGTTTTGCTGCTGAGCTTCTTGAGATCACCTCTGCCCTTAAATTTCATAGGGCATCGGTTGTGATCAGTGCTTCTGAAACGAAGAAGCTGCCATTCCCACAAGGCAGATGCAGTACTGGGACTCAGCTGAACATAGTTGGCCAAAATGCATTAAGACATATAAACTAAAGCTCTGAATTTTCTTCAGAGAATCTGCTCTACAGCTGGGAGGTCTGGGTCTGGATGGCACCTGCTTACTTCCATTCAGACTGATAAAGCTACAAAAGAAGACTCTGTGAAGAAAGAAATCTCTGCTGAGGAAAAGAACGATGAGTCTATTTCCACACTTAAGACTGCAAAGATGTTCAAATAGTTACAATGAAAGATCTGTGCACTTTAGCACAGTGAAGAATTGAGCTTCAGATCATAAAAATATATAAAAATTCATATTTGAACTAAACTGGTATTTACTCAGCACCAAAATAGCCTGAGGGTTACACCTGCATACTCAAATTAATTTTCAAGTGCCTCTTTTGCTACGCAGGGTATTTTATGTTACAGTTGTACCATACTTATATAACCTACTTGAAATGTATTTCCCCTTGTTGGGAGTAATAACTTTCTGGAGACGTCTCATAAAGTCCAATTTGGAAAGAAATTAAAGGCAAGAGCCTTCCCCACATACTGCTTCCTGACTACCATACAGAATACCTGCTGAGCAGAGATCAAGCAGGTCTCTGTTGATTTCATAGCGCAGGTTAAAACACATTGAGCAGTTAATAAATGAAGGGCTATATAAAGCTTTTTAATGTCTTCATCAATGAGAGCTCTATATAACTTACTGTGAAGTGCTTTCAGATGGATCTTATTGACAGTGGAGTATATATACGTTCAGTGCAACACACAAGGGAACGGTAATCACACAATCAGAGGTGCCAGGCACAAGCGCTCACCTAATCTCTGTCCCAAGGGATGTTGAACTATAGTGTTATCATTCCTAACACACACATAGTCTTAAAGACATCTAGCAATTGCAACTCTAATCCCCTCCTCCCCATACATACCAGCAGACTAACCCGACACTTTACTACCCTCATTATTCTCCTCTTTGCTGCAATTCAAACTTCTTGTCTTAAACATCATGCAAATTAATAAAAGACTGTTCTTTTCCTCACGGAAGTCTCTTATAAGCTCCCCTGAAAGTCTCTTTTTCGCATGATACACAAACAGTTACTTCAATCAGTATTCCACAGTAGGCTTTCTGAGCCTCTAATCATTCTCACTGCCTTCCTCTGGATTCTCTCCAGTTGACCCAAATCTTTCATAAAAAATTTAGTATAGCAGTCCATCTACAGCCACTTCAAGCCTGAACCAGGCACAAGGATGACTTCTAATGCCCTGTAGAACAACAGTGCTACATAGTATGACATTGGGTTATATTTGGGCAAATGTTACAAACTGATTAAGATCTTTTATTCCAACAAAGCTGGAACAGCTGTTCTACAAAAACAGGAGTAATATGTATATACATTATCAAAGACAGTGTTCGCACATAAGCAAACTATGCAATGCAAAGTATTCTGGGAAAAGTACACAATCTGTCCAAGAATCAGCAGTACTAAGTCATTCTCTCTCAGTCAGGGGATGTACAACTATGTACAAGAATCACAGTAGCCAACCCTGTCATCCTTAAACCCTCCTGACACACTTTGCACAGAGCTTTCACCAGGCCATTCTACTTGTCTGATGGGCTAGATGCTTGGTCTAGTTTTCCCTGACAGAAGGCTTCTAGACTGTGGTCAAATAGCAGCTATGAATCACTTAAAATTATAAAAAGCCCCAAACCAGCACAGATTAATTATATGAGAAAAGGTCATTTCTCTCCTCTGACAACGGTTTTAAAAAGAGTTTGAGGACAACTAGCTGCACTCCTCAACCTCAAGGTTTTCTTTTTTACAGGCCACGAAATTCCTATAACCTAAAACTATAAAACAAAATCATATTCTTTGTACTTACCCTTCTCTTTGGTACTCCTCATCCAAATTTGACAAAAGCTGGGACCCAGCCACAGACAGATCAAGTGCAGCTAAAGGTAGATCTCGATAAGCAAAATTAACAAGCTGTACAGGAGCAATGCTTTTGGTCTCTTCTTCTACTTGTTGCGAAATTATCTCAACTTCTGAAACACCACCTTCTATTGTAGGCCTGAAAATGTAATAAGCAAAATAAAAACAACTCCCTCTCTATACACACATATACATATAAACAAATATAAATAAATAAGCAAGCAAATAAAAATAAGTTAGAGACAAGAACTTCACAGAATCCTAAAAAGCCAGCAACTTAAAAGGCATTTGCAAGGTCACTGAGGGAGGTTTCTTCACTGAGGGGACAGATCAACTATCCATAAACTTGTCTTTCATACACCCCATTGAAATCATCATAAACCCCATAGACAAGGGAGAACAGCATTTCACTCTGCTGAATCTGCCTCAGAAGCACTAAATACAAATGGATGTGTTATTAACAAACCAACCAATATGGAAACAATGCATGAACCCAAAGGCAAAATATTTCTGCAAAGCAAAAAGAAGGCATGTAACTATGCCAACTAAAAAACTCACTGCTGTAAGTTGGATCAGGGAGTAATGAATAGCTAAGCTTATTAATCATTATACACAAATCAACTGTTAATTAATGGATGCAGTTTGACCCCTCTTCCACTGTGGGTCAATATTCAAATAGTTTTGATGGAAAGTCACTTTCTTTCATTCAACTAGAAAGGAACATCCTGTTACAAGTTATTTCAAAATAATTCTGAAAGAAGAGCAACTCTTCAGAAGAATTATGGACTCCTCTATAAAGATTATCTGAACTATCTTTAGTACAGCTTCTAAATCTGAACACATATTCTTCTACCACCCCACTAACATGAATGGGAACTCCATGCAGGTAAAACCAGAGTCTGACTATGTATGCATCTTCCACATATATAGGATATATAGTCACAGTATAACAAGATACTACTTATCTAGAAACTCAGACTTTGTCAGTTAGTGTACTATCTAGTGTATGTGAAGGACTGCTTCATTGTAGGCAACAGCTTGCATGTCAAGCCCCAGCAAGTATTGATCCTTTGCGGGGTACTCAGTGAAAGCCACTTGTTCCATTTGATTCAGAGCAGGTGCAAGCATAAACTTCTCCAGCTTTCATCTAGGGGAGCTTGCTAACTTCTGAAGAAATCTCATCATACTTGCCAGAGATTTTCAACAGCAGCTGTGAAGATAAACTTTTTCCTTAGGGACACAGTTCAGAAGTGCTTAGCACCCAACTTCCCTCTGCTACTTGACTGCAAAAGTTCCATTGGTGACTTTGTTTTAAAGAAGCTTATTAAAATCTTCTAGCTATTCAAACAACCTGAATAATAGTGCATTTTTTTCCCAGAAAAAAATGAATAATTTAGAAGAGTTGTTAACTCATATATCTTGTAAGTCTAGGGAAGTGGGTGAAGGAACCAAAATTCTATGTGAAAGAGATAAAGTTTCTGTTGGTCAAGTCTCACCATTAGTCTAACCCTCTCAGACGGAAAACATTATTCCTAAATTAAAAGGAGCTAACTGCTGCCAGCATTACACAAGAAAGCAATTTTCAAAATTGAAGAATACTGTTATATGTCAAGCATTTGGCAGGGAAAGGCTGAAACTGTGTCATCCTATGGCAGAAAACAGAGGTAAAAGGTAATACTATTTGAACAACCTAAAGGCTTATTTTATTCTTTGTCTAAGATTGGAAAGTAGTAAGATTGTTTCGCTTCCAACAGAACTGTATTCCTCTGAAAACAATCTGAAATCAGAAGCCCAGAGCAAGGAGCTAATTTTAGCAATAATTTTCTTTGTTTTTCATCATTAGTGACATCCAATGGACATTTACCTTTACAAGTCCAAGATGGGTCGGTTTTGCATGAAAGAGCATACAATGCTCCAATTTCCAGTATTGTAAAGGAAAGAGGAACTGGGTTGGTGCAGCCTTCCCTCTCCCAACAGTATTTACCTTCTATTCTCTTAGACTAAATGACAGACCTTGTCTGATGTGACTGAAAAGAAAAACAAACAAACCAACAGACTAGTGGCAGGAAAGAAAAAAGGCAAACGGATCTGAAAATAATATGACATAGTAGTTCTCAGCCACTAGCTATTAGTAATTCATCAGACATGTTTACAGCTTTCATGTTTTTTCTGCTAATTCACACTCTTTAGACAACTGACCAAATCTTACTACTACTACTACTCACAATACCAACTTTTCCTTCTAGTAGTACTGATAGAACCCTCTTGATGTCAAAACATCATTCTTCTACAGGTAGCAACCTGTTCTCTTTAAAATAAGTTATAACTATCCTCACATGGTACTTACTGAGGATTGGTCATGTTGGAGGATGCAACCGAATCAGCAGTGGTTCCAGTATTTAACTAATTCCAGCTGCTCTACACAGAAATTCTAGCCTTCCAAGATTATGTCTCTGTGAGAAGCAAAACAAAGTTATTTAAAACACAGTCAAAAGAATTCCAGAGGGCTGTATTGACATTCGTTGTCACGTTGTGATTTGTCTAATAATTTTATTTCCCCCATGACTCCTTTTCAAAGGAACCTGGATTTGTTCAAGGTTAATTCCTCCATATTATTGAAGATGTAAAGTTACAGTGCATTTACTTATACACATGGGCACCTGCTCAGCTATATACTTCCATAAGAACACAGTACTTGCTTTAAACCACTAGATTGTTGAGAAATATAACCAAGATCACAGCGGGGAACAGATTTTCAAAGAAAGCTCATGGCCTCAAGAGTACAAATTCTATTGGAATCCAAATAACTTTTTTTTTTTAAACATTCAATACACTTTCTAGAGATTAGCATTAGCTTTGTCAACAAAGTTTGGGGTTTTGTTTTTTGTTCTCCATTTTCCAACTTGAACTGCATTCCTGACTCCCTTTGCTATTTTAGAAAGTCTCTTCCAAGAGTTAATTCATGTTGTCAAACATTCTAGAGGGGCTGTTAACAAGATAATATTTTGACCAACAAAACTCACTAGCACATTTGGAAAAAGTGCCACATTTGCTTGTGGCAAAATCTCCATTTGTGTTGTAGCTGGACCAATGCATGACAATCAGAATGGAAGAGGACAACCTTGTGAGAATGAAACCTACTGATACACAGGTTTTGGTAGTTGAAAAAAATATAAATTGGAGATTAACATGTAAGAAGCAGAAATTCTTTGGAAAAGCTAACATGAGAGACTTTGTAAAGCTACTGTCAATATTATTTGATAATTTTTAGAAGTAACACAAAAACATACTCTTATTTTAGTTAAACAGAAATAGTCATTGGCAAATTAGAATATTACTGACAATAACATCAAAAAAACGTTATGATAATGAAAAATGGTTCTCATACTAAACTTTATACTAGAGTCACTTATAGGCTGAATTGTCAGTATCAGTCAAGTATTTGTAGTGGAGACATATAAATGCAGCAACAGTAAGACTATCACTTGATTCTGAATAATAAAACTTACATCTCCTGTAGATCCATTTCCAAGGCTTTATTTCATGTCTTCCAACATTATAATAATGCAAAAGTAGTCAATGCATTCTCAGATTTTTCAGATAATGTTCCTGGGTATGCAAAAAGAAAGAGTCTACACTGTGGTCATTCTTCTCAGGTAGGTAAGTCAGTCTAAAGCAATTTAATTATTCATTAAGAAGAAAAGAAACAAGATCAACTTTAAAACAGATAAATACAAATAATGTAGAAAAACACACACTCCATTTACCTATAACCCTATAATAGTTCTAAAGTCAGAGTAAGAAACAAACTTTTTTCAGTTAAACCTTCCCTAATACAGCCGAGACTTGATTCAACAACCACTTGACATCAATGGGAGTCTCTCAGAGTCTCTCCCCCGGTCTTTGTAGTCCTTGAATTATTTTATTTATCTCCCTGACGTGGCAAAATACTAAAACATTTGCCTAATATCATGCATGTTTAAATCACACACTGAAGGGATTTGGTGAATCTGTACCTATGACAGCTTTACGATAGCAATCGTTACACCTACTAGCACAACAAAACTAAAATATAAATATCAGCCTTGTTTTGTGGTGTTAGTTCACTAACATCTCCTTCTGCGTTGACATTTTACAACATTAAAAAAAAAAAAAACACAAAAAAAAAAAAACCAAAAAATTCTAGCCAAAACAATTGTTCTAAGCACTCAGCCTGAGAAAATGGTGAAGGCACTATGTACTGTGCACCTGTCTTGTGAGACTGAAGAAACTGAGAATCCTGCTATAACTGCATTTGCAGGCCTGGAGAATAAAAGGTAAATGGGAATATAGCTGATTTCAGAAATGGGAATAAAACTGATACAAACTGACCTCAGAGGACAGGCAGACAGATGTAGATATGGGAATTTTTTAACATAGTAAAAAACTCACCATTTATTTGGGAGACAGCACAGTGCTAATACTCGCAACTTCTGTCCCAAAAGGATTTTAGAAAACGAAAGTTACAAAAAAACATATAGCTAGATTTTTAAAAATCCTTTATTTTTTATAGTAATCTCAAGATTTTTTTTTTGAGGGATCGTAAGTCATAACAATAAGGCCAGCAACACTGCAGTTCTTTCACATCAGACATGAACATGAAATATTTGCCCTTCTAGAACACGGACTCAGCTGCCTTTTTTTTTTCCCTAAAACTGGAAATATGTTCACATTCACACAGAATTTTGTTTTACAACTCCAACAGATCTGACCAGTTGCAACACCAATAAGCCAAAGCTGCTCCCTCCTACTGGAGTTGGCAGCTCTACAGATAGTTAGCTCACTACCAGGACTGAAGGAGCAAGCCTACCAGGCTGGGCAGCAAGCTCTTCTGAGAGCTCAGATGGCTCCCCAGGGAGCAGAGTCCAACTTGCCTTGGCTGAAGGGATCACTACCATGACATAAGGTGCTCACAAAGGTGAGAGGAGTAACGTGGAAAGAGACCTGAAAGGAGATAGAAGGAGTCAAGTCTCCAAAGGACTCAGTGGAGCCTTCCTGAGAGAAAAAGTGGCAAAAAAGTGAGTAATTTCTGGTGCTGATGCCTAATGTATTAGTTGTTTTAATGAATTAAAAAGACAAGTAGTTAATACGTACAATAGGAGGGCAGCTCAACTGAAAACTTCAAAATGGACTTTAGTAAGTTGTGTATATCTATATCCTAAAGAGATTACTACGATTCATGCTTCTTTCTATGCTTTATGCAAACAACAAAAGTGTCTTAACATATACTAATATTTTGCAGAAACTTATTCTTTTCATCCACTCCACCTCATCTATTTGTCATCTTCAGAACTTCCTTAAAAAACCACAACGTTTATTGCAGCATAAAACACTTCCAACTTCCACAGAGAATTTCTGTGCAACTGAGTGTTTAAGGACAACAAGGAACAGCTGGGATATTTTATTATTCTGCACTTCTCTCTCACTTGGAGTCCTATGGGATATAGTATAGGCAAAGAGCCATGATGTGGCTGTCCTCCATACCAACTAAGACAGGGAGGAGGCAGAGGGCAACCTTTGGGTATTCCATTTATCATCCAATTGGAAGTTTTTCCATACAGCCCTTTCTACACCTATCCCACTCAGTGTTCAATAGACAAAAAAGCCTCATCTCTCATGGCCTCATCCAAGGCAATTAGTTAACACTTCCAGGGTTTGGTGGTGGTGGTTTGTTTTTGGTTGGTTTTTTTTTTTTTTTTTTTTTTTTTTTTTTTCCCCCCCCCCCCCACTTCTTGGAATTGAGATGAGATAGCAGACAGCGTATGCTGAGTTGCCATGTGAGTATGAGCAATGGCCATTTTGTGAGAGTTCAGCAATTCCACTTGTTCTGTGGTGTGTTCTTAAGGTGAAATGGCTGTAGAAGGTGCACAGTTTCCCAAGTTAAACAGACTTAGTTTAAAAAAGAGATATGACAAAGGAAAGAATTGTCCCAAGAAGATTCTAGTGCAAGCTTTGAAGGGGTATAAAAATCAGAAACATTCACTGGGCTAAATGACTGACACAATATGTGTATCAAGAAGACACTGCAATTTTATGGGAAGCATATTTCTGCATAGTCTTCTGTATAAAGTTTGTAGACTAGTAGCCCAGCTTAAAATGCGTGGGATCACAGTTCAAATCTCAGCAAAGCTGACTCAGCTCTTCACCCCTCTGCAGTAGGTGAAGGAAGTTGCACCCAGTTCACTGAGCTCAGATGAGGCAAGACCTTCAAAGTACTTAAGAGTGCTGTATTTGCCTTCCAAGCCCTTCAGCTTTCCTCTGTTCTTTGAACGGGTATTACACATGCCAGTATTCCTCAAAGCTTTTGCAAGGCACCCTTTGCTTGATTATGATTTCTTTCACCCCCTCCTCTGCGGGGGCACTGGCAACTGCTTCACAGTTCATGGGTTATGCTCACAACCACGCAGCTTAAGAAGCGGGGTCATGCGCTATGGCTGAACAAAGGTTCATGCTGGGACCCTTGCCCAGCACACATCCTGTACAAGTTAATTTGTTAATGTTTAGATCAACCTTCCATTGTCAGTCAGCACACCTTGGCTGTAGCTTGCTAATAAGGAGATAAAGTCCAGCTTAAACAATACAAAGGATAGAACAGTTTGGAAAAATATATGTTAAAGCATGGCACGTGTCTATACATATACTCTAAGTAAAAAGGTAAAAACCCAAAAAACTCCAAAAGCAACCTTAAAAAAAAATAATCTATGCTCCACCTATGCATGAAAACCATGACTTTTAGCATATGTTTAAACAGTGTTACAAAATACGTGCCACAAGGTGGTATGCCCACTACACTGGGTGGGTAGTAGGAAGACAGTTTAATTTAAACCTCTGGCACCAAAGTCTCTACTAACTTGTACCCTGTTTAGCTGAACTGAAGTCAAGACCACATGGTTCAAAGGTGTTTGCTGCATTTGCTCCCCTTCTGAGGAGCATTACAGGCTGACGCTGTAAACTCCTGTACAAAATACAGATAGTAACTGAAACATCTGAGTTTATGTACTTACAAGTACCTACAAGACCAAATTCTGACATGTTCTTCTCACTAAAGATTCTTCCACACAGCCCCCCAACAGCAGCTTAGACACAGGGACAGGCTCACAGTTTGCATTCAAAGTAGATGGAACAAGCTACACGAGGAAACACTGCTGCTAGCCACAAGGTAGGTTTTAGGTATTCTTTCTCAGCTTCTGCTCCTTCTTCCACCATGCCATAGTGATGAACCTGCACACAGGCCATTATTGTGAGCTGGATCTGGAAACTGATTCGGCATTTCAATCAACAACAAAAAAAATATTTTTCTTTTCCTGCACTTTTTTTTTTTTTTAAGCAGGATGGCTTCCCTGATATAGGTCACAGTACAGCTCCAAAACTAGTTATATCTGCAAAACTGAGGGTAGGACACTACACCGTGGGCACAGCCATAGAAACCAACAGCACAGTGGAGAAATACTTAAGATCAGAAATACTCAAATCAAAGATGTGTTTTGCCCTGGTCATTGGCAATATTCAACTGGAATAACCACCCAACCTGAAAATCCTTAACAGACTGGGGACAGGGTGGAAATGAAAAGGACTTCTCTGTGGCTTTTTTCACCTCCTGTGTCACACTGGAGCTCTTTCATTTGAGAATTTAGTTTCCTTCATACAAAAAAAAAGTTATGTTTTTATTCTCATCTAAATTAAAATTTTTATACAGTCTAAAGTTTAAATGCAAATGATAGCTATTAAGTTTCCTACTGGGCAATCCTAAGGACGTCATGGAGTTACCGAGAAAAACAGAGACAAAGTGAAAGAGGGAATAATTTGAACTAGGATCAGGGAAGAACACCTAACCAGACATTACCCCAGAAGCTTTCAAAGAGAAAGGAGAAGCATGATTTAGGGGTAGCTACATTTAGCTCTTGTGAATTAGACTAGCCAAATTTCTTTTGTGATTAGCACCATTGATATCACGCTGAGGATCACCGTGAACATGACGTGATCACTCAGCTCAGATGGTGCAAGTCGTATTTCTCCAAGAACTGAAGCCAGGCTCCCTGGCATCGCAACTGGATAATTGTGACAAATGTTTTTGTTTTAACCTATCTGTGAGAATTCTAACCAGCTCCACACATCTGCACTTAGAAAGTGTTACTGGTCACAGAAATCCAGCAACCTGCACTTCTAAAGGGGAAATCCCGAAAACCTCCTGCAGGAGAGGTCCCAGCACTAACCTTCCTATCCCTTCCTAATCCCACTTTCAAGACAAGAGTTTGATAAAATATTTATGTGGCTCTGTGTAGGTTGATAATGAATACTTCCTTTATTTGTTTTGAAAAATAATTAATCTGTCAAAAGATTAGGAATGCAGAGATGCCACACCAAACAAACATCAAATTAACTTCCTTTACAAGTCAAGTTGATTTGATACATATTAATTTAACACTGCAGATTCCCAATTCCATTCATATCTTAAACACTCCCATGCAGTATCCGGAAAAAGGGAAGGGGTACAAGAGATGGAGCTTTTTATTTCAAGGAAGAAGAGATGTTGAATTTAGCATCTTTTTTATGGAGTGATCTACAGTAAA